TACTACATTCGTGGGCAGCAACCAGCCCAGTACAACAGAGCTGACCTACTGAAAAAACAAGGCCAGGTGGCTTGTGGATCAAGGGAAAAAATGAGATGAAGTGTTTTTTGTTTTCCAAACTTGCTCTCCCTCTCCTAATCCTTAACATAAAACTCTTTCCAGACTTCATTGCTTATATGAGGGTAGTGAAATAACATTCAGCATCAGCCAAGAAGCTGCCAGTTAGAGGATATTAAAAACTACCCATGAGCCGATTAGGAGTGCAGAATCATTTGCTGCAACAACTGCAGCTTTATCCGCAACACTTGCCAAGCATCCAGTGAAAGAAGCCTTTCCCGAGAGCCGCCCAGCAGCTCCACCCAAGGGCAGAATTGTACCGTTCTTGCTCCAAGGGGCTCCTGAGGGCCAGGAGTACAAAGTCCTGTTCCAAACCACCACAAAAATTAGTAACTGCCAGGTCAAGCTCCAGCAACGGTCCCATGCTACAGCTGTGATAAGCTGTACATAGCTTGGCACATCTTCAGCATTCAGGTAGGATTAGATGTGGATTCAGCATTCAGGTACGTTCAGATGTGGAAGATGCCATGGGCCGATTTCACAGAGGAACTTTACTGCAGGGACTGCAGTAAATAAAGCATTCATATTGAGGGTCATCCTCAGAGATGGATTAAACCAATGGCTCCGAGGAAGACGAGCACTCTGCTGTCTTGATTTTTGGTGAGATGATTAGGAGTGCATAACAATTTGTCATCTAGCAATGACACAGCAGACTCAAAACAATGGCTGGTTTCAACCAAAAAAATGATGAAGCAAGAAGAAACCAATGCTCGATGATAACAACTTCACTCATTTTTAACTCCATCAGCCTTTTCTAGGGGACAATCACAAGCAATTGCAGAATCTCTTTCAAGTTTTAAGATCCTCAAACCTCTTGGAGCTACACAAGACCTAGTAAAAACCTGCATTTGGATGAGAATTGTTTGGTAATACTGCCTGCTGATCGATTCCTACACTGGTGAGAGCTGACTTACTTGAAACAAAAGTTATTAAACAGAAGCTGCTGGTTTTGACAAAGTTTTGTGAGGAAATTGAGTCAGTCAGGGTGGATAAAGTTGCTCAAGTACTTCTATTAGATGTTATTAGAGACGCTACAGCAGTTACTTCATATGGTCTCTCCTAGTCAGATAGCCAGTGCTGATTTGTCATTTGACCTGCTCAAAGGATACAGAGATTATTAAGAAAGCTTAAAGACCATTAATTAAGCATTCAGCACTGGAGCAAGGAAATTCCTCATACAGATCTAGCCTGGTGATTGAAATCCTCCCTTCTGTTGTGAAGACAAAAGTGGTACAATACTAATGGCACTGCAATATTGCCCAGCCACGCTTTGCTTTTCTTGTGATTTGCTCTTGGATGTCTGAGAGATGCTGAGAAGACCTGACACAGTTCAACGAAAATCAAATGAAAACATGACATGAATAAGGGTGTTGCTATTTCTCCTAGTGCATGTTCAGAAGAGCCAACACCATTACCAAGAATTCCTTCCAGGAAGCAATAAAGGCAGCAGCGGGTAATTTATGAAGCCTTGGCAATTCATTCCTTGGCCCTAAAAATTGGAAACTGACACAACAATAATATTTCTTTTTTTTTAAAAGGAAATGATTCTCCCAGGCTTCCCAGTTCCCATCTATACCACACCTTTCTCACACAGTCCTGCATATGGTAAAGGACATGACCGTGGTTTATTAAATATGGAATAGTTCCTCTCCTATGGCAATAGCACAAGTCGTGAATTTCACTCGGGTCCATTCTAACTTCTTCTTGCCATGGCTGTGGACGGAATGGTATTTTTGCATGATGTACAAGAAAATGCCTTGAAAAATTAAAGTAGGTGTAATATTTCAAATACACTTGACCCTTAGAAAACACTGAGGATTCGAGTGGTGTAGGTGGCTCTCTGTGAACTGACACAGAAACACACAACCTTGCTGCTGAGGCTGTCCAGCCATAATAAATGTGGCTCACAAAAAATTAACACAAGCAGGTACAGTTGATAAGCACAAGTTATTTTTGGTGGTAGATTATTTTTCTATCAATCAATCAGATCAATGATGTGCTGCATCAAGACATGCTCCAGCCACACCAGGCAAGGTCCAGCGAAGGGGAAGCCATGGAAAATCCCCTTAGAGAAAGGCGGAGGGGAGCACGGCTGCTTCCTTTAGCATAAGCCTGCAGCTAGATTGCAGTAAGTGTAACACAAAACCAGATAAGGGCTAGCTTGCAGAAAAAGGAGGTTCTTGAGATGAGTTTATTGTCTCTCTCATTTATTGCTTTCTTTAGGCAGCTGTACTGGGATGTAGGAGACTGTCTGGCATGGAAGTTCAGAGATGGAATAATTAGATTCAGTGGCATGATTATGGATTTTATGTGTGAGGCACCTTTGTGGAAAAAGTTAAAGCATGTTCTCCATAAAGCTTGGGAGGTTTCTCATAACACTAGTACAAGTAGGTAGATGAAGAGATGTTAAATTCCTAATTGTTTCTTTTATCTTTCCTGTGATAGAGACAGAATTCTGTTTTAAAGATGTACCAAAACCCAGGTCTTTCATCTGGAGTGTAAAATTCATGTGTTCCCTGACCTCGTGTGTCACATGGTAATGAAACAACGTAAATCAGAAATGTTAAAAGTTGAAGTTTGTTAATATTACTGCTGAAGATCCAGTCTCTTTCCCAGTTAAACTGACAGGTCCATAGTCCAAATATATATATTTATGGATTACAGCGACACAAAGAAAAAAAATTAATGGACACCCAATGAGAAACAAATGGAAATGCAAGTTTCAGATGACTATCTGGAAATTATAAAAAAAAAAACCAACCAAAACAACACAAACCCCACTTGCATGTGTTTTAAATGGGGTAATGAACTTTCTTTGTATCATACTACCACCTTACTCCTAAGAAGATACTTTGGTGATTTACACTCTGTGGGGAAAAATTAATAAATAGCATACATTTTGCATTCTCTTATCTACGTCTCCTTCTCAATTTTTTAGCTGTCTGGGCTGAAGCAGTCACTAAGATACAGGAATGTATTTTCCCTAGTTGAAGAAGACATTATGTACTAGTATTTTGGGGTCCATAAATGAAAGAAGATGGATCCCTATTGCCCTCTCCATTTGTTCCCACCCTTGCCAGCCACTTCAGAACAACTGGCTGAATTTGATGTAGACTAGAGGTGGCAAGAGCTCACAAAGCAACATGAAGACTTTGGGGAGATCAGGCTAAGGCCAGTACAGTCTTGGGACACAATCAGCAAGGTGATTTTTTTTTTTTCAGGTGCCCACTGGCCTGGGGTTTATTAAAAATAAAAAAACAACTTCCCTCTTTCCCCCTTTTTCCTCCCGTAAAATCCATGGGGAGTCTCAAAGAGAACCTGAAAACAGGGACATTTCCATATAGCTCATTTCACATAGAGAAATCCAACTCGTTAACTCAAAAAAGTCAAGACTACGCCAAAGCATACTGCGCATTTGAGATAATCGCAGGTAAGTCTCATATTGCATTTTTTTCCCATATTAAATGGATTGTGAAAGCAACTGGAAACTAGTTCACATTCATTTATGTGAACTACTGCTTTCCAAATCTCACCCTACAAAAAACCCTACTCTTTCTCCAGCAGACGATAGAAAGGAAGCCAGTCTTGAAGGTAGAAGGTGAAATCCTGGCTCTATTCTGTTCATTTGCCAAATTTGAATTGACTTCAACAGAGCCAGGATTTCCCCCATAAAGATTTAGCTATAGTAAGCAGGGGAATGTCTAAATGGCAGACTAGAAAACCAGGTTATGGAGACTTTAGATCCCCACTTTTTACCTCCAAGCCAAGCACCACAGTAACACATGACATGAGAATATTGTCTTGGCTGAGTTTGTAACGATCAGTTTTCCAACTCAAAAGATTCACGTTATTACTGAAGTTTCTGCAGGTAATCCTCCTAGAGATGAAGTGCTCCTTTCATCTTTACAGACAGTCTCTTGAGAACAACTATCACTGCCACATCTGGTGATGCTGGAGCTACATCAATTTTATTTTCCTTTGTAACCTATTACTGACCCAGTTTTCTCTATTATTAGCGCTATCCTGACCATCCTGCTTCATGCTGCTGAAAAGGTACCTCTTCAAAAGTGAGAGGGACTGAGACAGTGTGAACTAAGGGAAAAAAAATGCAAAAAATTTAAAGTCTTCATTTGAATGAACACAAGTAGCCAGAAAGAAGAAAAAACAAGTAACAACTCAATCTGTGCAGAACAATGCAGTGTTTGAGAGAATTCAATCAGCACTGCTTCTAGCACCAAATTTAGGGCCGTAATTCCCACAGTACTTCTGAAGAGTATTTTTCATGCAAGACATGAAAGTTATTATTTCTTTCTTAATCTTTGCCTCAGTTCCTAAACCACCTCTCCATGCGTGCTAATTGGGATGCATGAAAATTCAGTAAGTAATGCAATTTTCCTGGGTTTTATTTTCTTAACTGCTTGAATTCTAAAAAAGCATCTATTTTTTTCCTCTATTATCGGATACAATGCTGTAGCATGGATGCAGCATCACCATCCGGGATCCAGATCTTAAAGCTATCTGTGAATAATGCTAACAGCCAAAACTCAGTATCTATCAGTGCAATGAAAGTCTGTTTTACAATTACTTGGCATGGCTGTGTAAGAAGAGGAAAGAAAAAGAATTACCACTTTTTACAGTCAATTACTTATTTTATAAGAATGTTATCTTACCATCTTATTTACTAAAATTTTTTATCTTTGCTATAAGACTAATTTTACTATAGCATTATTATTTACATTGCTTCTCTCATATCCCTTATCAATTTGAATGACTTAAATGATCTTATACAATTACATAAATACTAGAATATACGCAAGATTACACGGGAACACAGCACATAAACTAAGAGACTGAAATCTCAAAACTATATTTAGCATACTCACTTGAATAAAGGAGTCCCACAAACAACACATTTGTATATTCCTTGAGCTTTATGATGTGTGTACTCCCCCTCAAAGGCACTGGGAAAACAACAACACTACATTTTAAAAATAAATAAAGGAATTTGGGATTTTTTAATTCTTAAATTAGCTACAACTTTAGAAAAATGTTACAGAAAAAAAACCCCACGATTTAACAGTTGGCAGTTGTTTTTTATTAAAGGCAGCAAATGAAGCAGGCACAGGAAAAGGGGAATGCCCTCATTAGCGTGCCTCAGGTGTTATGCATCATGCAAAAGGAAGCAAATTGTCCCACAGTTCAAAGGACAGAACAACAACAACAGCAACAAAAAGGGAAAAAACAGGAATCTTGCCCCATTTGGCAAGTGTTTTTGTAAACACGGACTGTTTGACACGTAGCTCAACCTGAGGAAACGTGTCAGCGGTGGGCTTCACTGCCAAGGCAGAGAGGTGTGAGGCGCGTGGGTGCCTGCACCGCAGTGCTGGGTCAGGCCGCCGTGGGCTGCCGGGGCGATGGAGGCATTGTAGCTGAAAATGAAATAATTGGTCCACGATTTCAAGCTGTGCGCGCCTTATATTTTTAGTCGAAAAGCAATATTACAGCTTTAAGGGAATATTTTTCTAAGTTAACAATCTAAAAGGCTAGGAGGTCATTCATCTAATACGAATCAGCTGCGCTAGCCCAACAAAAAGCCTATGTGCTCAGCAGCTTGTTTTTATTATCCTTTCACCCTTTTTATGAGGTCCAATTTTTTTTTATAAACAGGATTTTTAAGAATGACCTAATCTCCGATTGTTTGTGTGCATTAAATCATATTGTTGGTCCCATACAGAAGAGCAAGGAGGGCCGGGGTCGGGGGGGGAGGGAAGGCCAGGCCCCCCAGCAGAGGCCAGCATGCCCCCTGCCCCCCCGGGGCCGCGGGCGGGCGAAGCGCGGCGCGGTTTGGGGGCCGGAGAGGAGGAAGGACCCGCCCCCGCCCCCCCCCCCCAGCAAATTCAGCCACCAGTACGCGCTGTCAGGAAGAGTGCTCCCGATTAACCGGGACCCCACGTGCGGTGGGGAGCCCTTTCAGGTCATGAATGAAAACAAGCAGTTACATCATTAGTACGTTTGGAGCAGAGGTAAAGCCAGGGCCTTATGCCAAGCTCAATGGTATAAATTAGACAACAAAAAATGGCTAGGCCTTGGCAAGTTACCTTCATGCTGGAATCAGCTGAGAGAGAGACTTTATTCACTAAAAACAGTCTTGGAAGAGAGTCCTTTTTTTTTTTTTTTTTTTTTTTCCCCTCCAGGACTCGGGGCTGGCTTCCAGCGACTAAAGCCATGTGAGGGCAGTTATTGAAAATTTTTGACATTCCAACCACAAATGAGCCAATAAATACCTTCTCCACATGTGCTTCAAAAAGAAATTGGAGTGGGGTGGAAAAGAACTAAATTATGCTACCTTCTTTCTGCAGCCAAAACGTCTATACTTACAATGGCCACCTTCAAACCTCCAGCCTCCTGGCACGGGGCCATTTCCCTCGTGGTTCTGCTTACTGCCATGTCTTCCAAAAAAAGTGTACCTAAACCGCTATTACTTCCACACATTTTGTAGTAAACTAAAAACAGACTCTAAACATGAGCCTGGTGACTTTATAAGACATGCAGTGTTCATTAAAAGAAAAAGTCACACAAGACCCCTGGCCTCGGCCCCCGTGCTGCAGATGCTTGTCTTTGCAGTGGTGTTAATTTGTAGGGGTTAGTAAACAAGTGCAGAAATCCTGGGGGAAAAAACACCAAAAACCCCCAAAAAACCAAAACCACAAGCTTGGTGGGGAAGGTGAGGAAGCACCATTAAGAGGAGGGGGAGAAAAGCAGGATGCCTGTGTTTCAAGGACTGAATTTCCTTCGTCCTGCCTTACCTTTCAGTCCCCTTCTCCTGAGTGACATGGTACTGCAAGGGTGTCAGCCGCTTCCTCAGCTCCTCCTGGGAAAAGACCACCTTACAGTCCTTTTTATCCCTACATGACCCTGCAAAGGGAGAGGATATGGGAGAAGGAGCCTTTTTAGCTTAAATCCTGAATAATTGCTTTGGCAGACGGCCACAGCATAGCTTCTGCATTCACTTGTCAATGACCAGACTGGTCCCTAATGCACGAAGAATGGCTCAGCTGAACTGCAGCTGATTATTTCTTCAAATCCAAGTTTAAAAAAGAATTTTGCTTGAGAGCCAGGTGATTCCACTGGAGCAGTGACAATGTGCTACAGCCAAAGCCCTTCAGTGTGTTACATGCTAAACTGTTGCACACACAATCATTCAGAAGACAGTAACATTTTTCCAACTGTTAAAAAAAAAAAAACCTGCAAAAAAACCCAACTATAGCTGAAACATTCTTTACAAGACATCTATATTGGAGACTTATGGTAATGGGCATATGATGTTCAGCCACAACATCCAACAATTTAATTACCCTTTAGAGTAGCTCAAAAGCAACTCTAAATCTTTAGAATTCCAATAAGGTTGATTTTAACTTCTAGTCGCATCCTCGTCCTTTTACTTTATAACATTAACCATTGTATTTTTTCACTGTTGAAGCACTAGAATAGGAGCCCTGAGGAGCAAGTCATTTCTTTATGCACAAAGCTGTACAAGGTTCCACAATAAACTTGTAAAAATTAGGGTTGCTATTGAAATTACCCTCCTTTGAAAATTTCATCTTATGTTTTGCTTAGTTCACACAGAAAATCCAAGGAGTACATAAGGATTACTGTAAAAAAACATTTGTATCGTGCAGAAATTCACATCACATCAGGGAAGAAAAAATAACAATAAGGTTGCTTTTGAGAATGAAAACTCCCAAAGTAGTAACAGAAATTGCCAAATATTCAAATAACTTTGATAATCGCTCGCAAAAATTAGCTGACAAAATACAGCAGGGAAAAAGCACTCTAATTATGACAGTAATTAAAATATGGTACAATTAGAAATAAACAGTCCTGACAAAAATATTTTTTGCTAGTAATATATACACACTCATAAAAAGACCAATTGTATTCCCAAAGTAGAGGGAACAGACCTACCCATCTGTATGTCATTTAGTACAGGAGAGGCAATGGCAGGTTTAAATTACATGGTATTGGATTGCAATTTCCTAACATTGGATGCTTTTCTGCTTTTTTACCTTGAGTCATTACTAAGGAGTGTTCATAAAAAGTAGCTTAAAGCACAGATGCTTGCAAATCATTTAAGAAAAGATGTTTCTTTCTTCCTCCCCCTCTTCTTTTCTCATTTTTTTTAATGTGTGGGGGTGGGTGAATGGGGGAGAGAGAAAAAGAATAATGCTGTTGGTCACTACCAACTAACCCTAGGAAGTATTTTCAGGAAGAAAAAAAGTAAAATTGAAAACATCTGATTGAAGTAAATAGTGCAAACATAAAAAGCTTTACTAGTGAAAGAAAGGTACTGAAAAGCGACTTTATTTCATAGATTAGAAATTACTTTTGATCTAAACATTCTTAAAAACAGATTGTTTTCCACTCCGAGCCATCTCATTAGCTGTGCTGCAGAGCCTTCATTTTAATGGCAAGCTTTGAAAGAGCACTGCTGTATGCCTTTGTTAGCTTCAATCTTATTTGGGAGAGGGATAAAGATTTCATTCCAGGTCTCTTTGTTTGTCTTTCAAGAACCACTAAAGCAGTATTCACACAAATTTTGCAGGAATGTGCCCTGTGCCATAGCTTACAAATTATTTGGTTTTGGTGCACTTAAAGGTCACCTTCCAAATTAGCAAAATTTTCCTACATCCTGGCTTTTCAACCTTAAATGTAAATATTGTTTCCTAACTGTAAGTGAGGTTTGTTCTTTATAACATTCGGTTGCTTATTTAAAGATGTCAAACTTTGGAGGTTTTTGTTCTCCGAACGTGCTGGGCTCTAGGTCTAATAAGTCTTTCAAAGTATAGCTAACTGGGAAAGGAAGGATATGCATTATATAAATAGCTATTGTTATGTTGAGTTACGCAGCTCAGAAAGAAACTGTTTGAGAGACAGTCTTTCATCTAATATTTCAGTATTAAGAAGCAGTCTAGAGAGCAGCAAAGAACCTTACACACCAACATCGCTTCACTTTTAAAAATATCTTCCAATTATTTTTTTTAAATTCTATTTGCTCTTTTAGATGTTGCAAAAAAGCAAGCTAAGAATAACTTCACTTTGAAAAAAGTTAGAGATAATATTGAGTATTTTAAAGAACAGTCACTATTCCCTCTTTACTCTCATTGAAGATTTTTTCATCTGTTTTAGAAATTTAGTATTCTTTAATCAATGGGCTCACTATATGCACAAGAAAATTTCTATATGCCGCTCAATCCACAACATAGATCAGAAGTAGGGAGCGTGTTGTAAGTTTTTTTTTCCTCCTTGTTTTTAATAATTAACTGTGTGTTTTACAATACAGCCAAGTATTCATGTCAACAGGGGAATTCTGCCAAACTGCACTGGGGCAAACTGCAACTTACCCTGACGAAGGACTCCAGGTTTGTAATTTAATGGAGTCTACATCAGCAAAAGCTGTAGTTGCACTACAGGTCATAAAGGAAATCTCTTGGTCCAGCCCTCAGCATTCAAGAACAGCCCTATTCAGTTAAATGCACTTATTATTTAACTGCTAGAAACAAAAAAATAGCTCAGTAAATCGATTGCACTATTTCCATATTGCCAAAGAGCCAGGGAGGTAAAGCAAGACTCACCCGACTGCAGAGGACATAAGGATATGTTACCTGGAACAGGGCTAGCTTACAAGCCTCGATAAAATGCAGTGAACTCTAAAACCTACTGGATGGGATTCCAGGAATACGGTCCTTCAGTTAGGAAAAAAAAAATAACATGCAAGAGGGACAAAAGTGCTTAACTTGCAGTACAAGAACAGCTGCTCCCATTTTTTTCAACTGTTCCTTTATGGCATATACGAGATGTCTCTACATTCAAGCCAACTGTCTGTGTCTTGGGAGAGGACAACATAAAACTACACAAATATATACCAACTATGAGAGAAATGGCCACTAGCAATGCAGCTGTTATCAAACTTGTTATTAAAGCAAAGAATAAAGGTGCAGGCTGACCACCTTCCTCAGCCTGGTTCCCCAAAGAAAGGACCAGGTACGGGCTGTGGAAAGGGTTCCCATACAGGCAAACTTCTTCAGCAACTCAGGCATAAAGGCAGGCTCAGAGTTCATTTGCAAATTACACAGTTCAAGGCAGAAGAGAAAAAAGGTCATCAGTTTTTTTACAAATTGCATGACATCACTGTGATTACATCAATGGTGAGACTAAATGAAATACACTGTGAGAATAACAGAGTCTGGATTCGTTAGCTCTATATTAGGACTCTGGATTGGATCTCACACGTTCTTTGCAGGTGATGCTCTCAGCACTGACTTTTAGAAGAGCCTGGGACAGCTATGTTCCCAACTCCAGTTAGATCCCCCTGTTAGGAGAGATGAACGAATGCTGGCCTACACAGGTAGACACAATTCCCTTTATATTCCACTGCATGATCGCAGGCCAAATTAAATCTCCCTAATCAGCGCACCTCAGTGCCTTCATTGGGGTTGGTGCTCATTAGAAGAGCAGTGCGCACACTACTGCTCCACAAACGGCCACCAGCGTTTCCACTCGAGGCCACCTGCCTTCAGCCTTTCGCCAACAGTTATAGCAGTCCTAAAAGCTGTTAAGATCAGTATGGAGCAGTATGGTAGGCTTCGCCAAGAAAAGGCCAGGCTCACAAATCTTAATACATAAACATTAAAAAAAAGCTGAGGAGGGTGAAACAAACACCATCAGAAACCTTGTCAGAGTCTTCATGGCGTTGCTGTGCTTAGGAATGGCTTTTCTGCAAAGCAACGCAATGCACTCTGCCATTTACTATTCACCCACAGACGACGGGCATTTCAGAGTTCAGCTCTGGAGTCCTCCTCTGTACAAATGAAGTGAACAGAAAGTATTTGCTGGGTGTTGACCTGATAATGAAGACATTAAGCATCTCACCTCACATATAAATTCCAATTTCAATTGACCTTTTCAAATCTGTGGTTCATACCGCTGGCGTGTGCCATTTCCTTCCATATAAGCATTCACAAGAAAACTAGCAATGAGATACGTCCAGACAGACGGACACAAGTTGGCAGACTATTACTCCTCACCACTCAGCCCTTCACCTGCTCCAGCGTGCCGGAGGGTGGCGATTAGTGTCTGACATGCCCTGAAATATGGTGGCATTTTGCCTTATGGCTTTCCTTCTTTAAATAGTCTTTTGAACCGTTCTAATGATTTTCTCTTATGTTTTGTTGCTTCCTATCACTGAAATTAACTCAACGTTTCAACTGCGTGGAAGACACAGCATACATTTTCCCCCTTCTACGTATGCTTCTGTTCCACTAGCATTAATGGACATTACAGTCATGCACTGAACACATACCGTTAAGACTTCCTGCATTAAATACAGCAAGATCAAATGTTCCAGCAGAGCACAGCCATGTAATAAATCGGGCTTCTAGTTTTCAGTACTACTTCTTTTAATATACCCAAGCAGTTTTTTAGGGGCCTTCCAGCACATTTTATTATTCATACACCACCCCAGCCCCAATCCTGCAATGTGACCTGTGTGGGCAGACCCCTGAGGATATGCATAGCTCCAACTACATAAGGGTCTACGAATGTAAATCAGATTACAGGATCTGGCTTTAAGTATACAACTCTGTTTCTCAAAGCCTGTCCCCTCATGAGTGGGTCATACCTTAGTCATCGATGGTAAATTATCTCAAACTGACGTTAAAAGGAATCCTGTAAGGTTAAAAAATACTTGCATACATTTCTTTAAATAAATATCCTTACATATGCTATCGCTAATGCTCAGTATTACTAAAAATAGAATCTCTCGGTTTTATCATTTCAAATTTCATTTACACAGTTTATGCCTCTTGTTTACAGCTATGTCTCTTTGTGCTTAGGAAAGGCAAAGGCACAACTCTCTATTTCACTTCTGTTTAGTCTGTTCTCTGCAGCCTCTAGTCTGCAGCCCTGGGAGAACGCTGCAGTGTCCTCTCACTGCAAACAAGCCAGGAACCGCTCATCTAGTTGAAAAAAAAACCCAACCACAACTTTGAAAAAGCAAATCAATGCAAACAATTCCATTGGCTTTGAAGTTGGAAAACACTGTTTTACAAAACCTGTATTTGACACGATAGATATTTTATAATCCCATCAGAAGCCATTTTAAATTACCTAAGCATGCTGCTGACTAGGATAGATGCTGCAAAAGAACTCTGAAATGGTGAGAGGTCAAGTTTAAGTAAAATCCAAACTTCATCATTAAAAAACCCCTGTAAATGTTTTACACATTGAAAAACAGATCTGTGTTTCTTCTCTGAGGGATGGCTCCTTTGCTTTCCTGCTGTAGGTAGCTAACTCCCACCTGCTGTTGAAATACCATTTGCAGTTTCATGCAAGCATTAGGAGTAATGGGGCGAAGACCATTTCCATTACATTGTGCGTCGAAAATCCAAAAGCCGGGTACCAGGACAAGAGTTACAATTCGGGGTCAAATGCCAGCTTCTATCTTAAAAGACCACCACCCAAAAATCAACTGTCTTTAAAAAAAAAAGATTTACGTAACAGCCAGGAGGGTCACATGGGTGCAAGGGAAGGGCAAGCCCCTTCTTTGCAAATGCACAAGCTTCCCATGCAATCAAGTGACAGAGCTGTCACATTTATTCACCTAGTCATTCCCATGGCTCCTTTTTTATATAGATGTATAGATTTTGAGTCACCATCAGAGCTCTCCCATGTAAGACAACAAATTTCCAAAGCACTAAAAAAAATATCCCCAAACTCCCAACTAACGCATCTCCTCTGTGCACTCATTTTCTTTCCAAAGAACGCAGTACTGGAATCCCAGTGATCGCAGTACAGGCAGCATCTATGGGATTGGAAGCTGCCTTGTTGTTTCATGAGGTCTGCAGTCATCTTTGCGGCAGGTTATGTGGCCGAGGTAGCCACGCAAGCTGAAGAGACATTCCCTGGAAAAGAAATCTGAAGCTGCCTCCCCTCCCCGCGAATGTAAAAAACATTTAACAAAAAGATTGAAGTGTTTTGTGTAGTGGGGAAGGGGGAAAGAAAAGCAGTGCCGTTTGTCCTCTCCAGGGATGTCTACTTTACTTCCTTATCTCGCACTAATGAAATAAATGTCACTACCAGCCGCAATCTTGGTCTCACAACCTTTCCAAATTAGAACTGCTGAGGACTCCAACTCCACCCTGCGCTGCCCAGGGCTCTTCAAGCTGTCATCTTCACCGGTACTACAGCAATGGGAACATGCAGCAGCTCAGCAGAGGCTGGTGATTAGCAGCACCTTCAATTAAGTGGAGCAAAAGCTCATTACGTTACGAACTGCCACTTTTGTTAGCCTTTCTGCTGAGATGGCCAAAGACAGAGGGCACGGGGCAGATGACCTATTTGCCTTACTCTGGGATGCAAACCAGGCAAGACAACATCAAGATCTATTGGTACAGCAGCAGAGGAGGGAACATTTATAATGATGGATTTCTCTTCCTCTCTCCCCCAACAGATAAAGAGACTTTTGTTTTGCTGATATGATCCTAGCACCTTTCACAGGCACTACATTTGTTTAAATTAAAAACGAGAAAGGCAGAGACACTGAGCACTCTGTATCTGGTCAGTAGTTTTCTGTCAGAATCAATAAAAGGGTGCACAACATACGGAAAGGCATTTTATTAACAGCAGAATTAAGCTGAATTTAATAACAGTGCTTTATGCTACTTTTTACATTTAAAATACTTCAGTAAGCCATCAAAATAAGTTTATTCACACAGCTTTAATAAAGGTTTAACCCTGCAGTGGAAACAATTAAAAAGTCAGCATTTGCCAGCGGTTACCACAGTGGTGTGTAGCTTATTGTGGCATTCAGGCTGTTGCTAAATCCTCCTGCTGCTTCCTCCACAATAGTGATGTGTGGCCTGTGAAATGAGCACTGCTTTTCAAGAATCAAGGTGCTGCAATCTATACTTGGGATGGGGGTGGAGGAAAGGAATGGAGTGGGGGGAGGTCTCTCCTCTCCTCCAATTCCCCACAACAGCCCAGATCTAACCCCCTGCAAAACTCGGCCCATCTCCAACTGTGCAGGAACCCTTTTAGCAAAGATGCAAGCAGGCGCAGCCTGCTCCATGGCCTCTCATCCCACATCTCCAAGCACTGAGGGATGTACCCAGCATGAGGACAGGAATAGCTGGAACATGCTGTACTCCAGCTGCTGCTCTGCTATGGCCACCACTGTAGCATCCTCCCCTCTCACCCTGCTTCAGGACTAAAGGTAGAGAAAGAGCCAAAAAGGTTAGTAGCTGCCAACTTCTTCCCCTTGTGGGTCTCCTGGACTTCCCTATGTTTCTGTAAGTTCAGTCATGCTTTATGGGTCAGGAAGATGGGGCCAAGCCCTATAAAAGGGCTTCAAGAGGAGTTGGTCAAGCCCTTCCCCTGCTTTGTTCTTCTTGGGACTCCTTGACCCAGGTCAGGGAGTTGAGCAGGGAGTTCTTACCTGCGGTGCACAAAGCTGCCAGCGCCAGACCTGGGCTGCCAGCAGCTACCATCCCAGGAGAACCTCTCCTCCAGCTGGAGCAGGGGGCACCTTCGTATCCCAGCCAGGCACCCCTTCCCAACACAGCTTCTTTTGAAAGAAATCATGAGATGAGACGCGTTTCATTTGTAACTAAGAAGAAACATTTTCTGCTTCTCAGCCATCTCTGGGACGTGATTTCTCTATACTCCTTGTTTCCTCCCAAATCAAGATCTGTGCTGTAGCAACCTGTGGTTAACCTAACAGCTGAATTATGATAACGACCATGTCTCTGGTGCCTGACTCCCAGTCCACAGTCTCTAGACCCATTCAATGTACCATCAAATTCCAAGCTCGCACATTCCCTAAATGACCTCCTATGTTACCTCCGCCAACACTTCCAAACACACTCTTACTGACTTCAGGGTTCCCATTTCCATCTTGCACCTTTCCTTGCTTGCCCTCTGTCAGCTTAGTAATATCCTTCCAAATTCTCCTTCCTTTTTGTGTGCTGCTATCTTCACATCATATTCTTCTCTGCAACCTTCATCATGCACTCCTCAGAGTAAGGACAAAGCCATGGGTTGCTCTTAATTGAAGGGAAAAAAGTGAAGGCGGTCCTTAAAGGACTTCTCAAACCTCCTGTTATACACAGAGAGTCTAATAACTAAGAAAGTAGCTTTTCATGGGAGCCTTTAAAACACAGAAACACAGTTAGTGCTAAAACTTCATCTTTTCCATACCCAACTTCAGCAGAAAATGCAGTAAGCCTGAGCTGCAGAGGGCACAGGAACGGAACGCAGGAAATTTATGAGCTCCTAGAATTAAAACATTCCTGCAAGAAAGGCAGAAATGGCTTGTGGTGGGTCCTTTATGGGAGTAGGAAGGGAAAAGCAAATGACCTTAGGAGATCCATCAGGGACCACGTTAAGGAACTGGCTCTGTGCATGGTGCTGGGAGCACAAGGAACTTATCATCATCCCTGCGCTGCTCAGTGCTACAGAGTCACTGCTGAGCCTCCACCCAGACGAGGCAGAGACAGGCGCTGTCTGTCTATCGAGCAGATGAGGGAGAGTGCAAAACTCTGCCAGAACGAGGAGTTAAAATGGGGACAAAATAAGACATAAACCCTACGGTGCAAACAAAAAGGGTACATTAACAAGTGCTTCCTGCTCTGCTTTATGATCCCAAGTTTTGCAAGCATCAGGCACGGTAACAGTATTACTCCTAATGAGGTATCTACAAATAAATTTCATGCTAAACTGTATTAAGTAAGGTATTACGGACTGAATGCTATTGCACAAAATAAACATTTGTCAATACAGGACAATTTTTGAAGCAAATGCAACATTGAATGTACTCCTATTAAGACAGCTATACAAAGATGATTTTTAAAACCCATTTTCAAGCCATTCCAAAACTAGGATAATGTTATGCTCTATTATGATAAGGCAGCATTCTACTATCATATGACTAGGAGGCAGACATACACGCAGACATACACACAGACATTTATGTAATAATGACACATGAACAGCTTCACATGCTATTTACTATTGCGCTCACATAGTGCTTGTTTTCAAGACTCTTTTCAAGCATTTATCAAATTCCTCAGAACTGCTGGGAGGTAGTGAACCAGGTAATTTGTAAGACTGTATTTTAAGTTTAAAAATATATTTTTGTTCCAAATTGATATTTCCTTTTTTTTTTTTTTAAATTTAGCTTCATAGAAACGAGTTTTAATTTTTGTCCCCCTACAGTTCCGAGGAACACATACACCCAGCTGAGACCTCGTAGGACATATTTAAATCCAGAGCAAATTTTTACACTCAAGATATAAACCCCAGAAAATAGGGATTTATAATGAAAACATTGACAAGCATTTAACCATAGCCATACTGACGAGTGTTGCTATGCAACATATCAGTCTTACTTTTATTTTCTTTCAGACCACGTGAAGAGACATCTGAAATAGTACATCTTTGGCGATACACGTTACGGAAAGCTATGGGAAAGTTATAACATACATTATGGAAATAGTATCTCTGATCATAGAAACATACAATATGAAATGTTACGACATACTTAAGTCACACAAAGTTTGACAGCAAGTACCGTACTTTGAACACCAGAGACTAAGGTCTTTTCTAGACTTTTCGTTGTTAAAGCCAGATCTGGCAAACACTACACGCACAGATAATTTCACTGACATGAGCCGTTTGAGAGTCCAGAGGGACAAATGGATACGAATAACTCATGTATGTAACTGTTTGCAAGATCTGCTCCTAAAAGTAATCCTTTATGTTAACAGCTTACTACTAAAAATCCAATTTTGAGACTCATTAATTTTTTGTTCACTAACTACTCATTTCAATTTTATGGAAAGACATTATACTGAAACTTGGAATTAACAAAGATTTAATAAAACAGGTTATGAGAAACTATACTATAGACATTTACTTAATAAAGACTTACACCATATGCCCAGCACCATCTTCATACAGATGTATTGTAGTTTAATCTAATCTTAGAAAAGTATGGTTTCCTACTAATTGTTATTTTAGTAATTAAACACTTCACAACAATTTAATATTGTCTAGGACTTTATTATTTCATACAGAAAAAAATACTGTCTACCCCTGTAATTTCTTCATCATTACTTTTACTTAATTTTACAAGCACCATAATTTTCTTTGATCTACACGAGACGAAAAGCCGTATTATCTCATGCAAAAAAATGTGATGTAAGCAGCACAACATTCACAGTGTTAAAGAAATAAAGGATTTTTTTAAGAAATGAGAACCCATAATAATTAAGACACAGCAAAGCAAAATAAGCTATCTTTTTACTTTATAGCTTGGTGGTCTGCTACAGAAAACATATGTACATGGAATCTGCATAATCATTACTTGTATCAGTTACTTGCTGGTATGCACTAAAGCAGCTGAAGTAGTTTTTACATTAAAAGTTTTTTTTTTGGGGGGGGTTGTTGTGGTTTTGAGAGGGGTTTTTTAAAGATTTAATTTTTGCGAACTAAATCCTGGCAGGTGCTGAGTGCATCCTACATTTCCAAAGAAATTTAGAGCTTTCAACTCTAATAAAGCGGGCTCAAGGAGCAACACTTCTACATCATAGGACAGACACAACTGAGCTGTAATCATTACTGGAAATGAAGAAACCTTGAACCAATGCGAAGGTAGTTTGCCTACGAGCACAGATTGATGTGATTTTTCCCAATGCTCACGCTTTTCTTAAAATACCTGTAAATGTTCATAAGGTCTCAGGGTGTACTTTATGTAAGAATGATTCCTAAATGGGATGCTTTTCATATACCGCTAGGCGTGCAAAACAGCGTATGCTTAGTGCCATCTACTGGGAGTGCATGCTCAGCCTCTGGCTTTACCACCTCGGCTATAAAAAATGTCCACCAGGTTTGCAGACATAGAAATGTTTAGTCCCAACTTCAGACCAAAAAATATTTTAAAACTACAATTTGGAAGAACAGATCTGCACTCCAGGTGCTTAATATACAAGTAGAAAAAAGAGCAAGTAAAAACACAACACTAGCACAACTGATCCAGTGTAACTCGCGCATGCTTACAAAATAGTGTTTCAGAGAGAGAAGGTCATCCCTATTCTAAGATACTTCCTAATGCTATTTTGTTCATTTAACTTTTGGGAAAAAAAAAAATCACTTATTTCTGATCTACAACTATAACTTTATATTAAAGTAAGTATTGCATTGTTTTACTTTGTTCCTTACAGGAAGGACAGAAGTACCATTCAAAGCATAGAAATTGAAACGATACTTTCATTCAAGTCCTTGTCCTGCAAATACTGAAAGCTGGAGAGGGACTGTTTACAAGGACAAGTAGTGATAGGACGAAGGGTAATGGCTGTAAATTAAAGGAGGGTAGATTTAGATTAGCTACCAGGAAGACATTTTTTGTGATGAGGGAGGTGAGGCACTGGAACAGGTTGCCCAGAGAGGTTGTGGAGGCCCCATCCCTGGCAGTGTTCAAGGCCAGGTCGGATGGGGCTTTGGGCACCCTGGTCTGGTGGAGGGTGTCCCTGGCCGTGGCAGGGGGGTTGGAACTAGGTGATCTTTGTGGTCCCTTCCAACCCAAACCGTTCTGTGATTCTGTGATTCTAAGATTTAATTGCATGGTGTTTAAAACTGTGTTTGAAAGCCCTATTTACAGCTCTGCTGTCACTTTGCTCCCTTACGCTGAGCGAGCAGGGGTTCCAGAAGGACAGGAAGTCTCCTTCCATATGGTATTTGCCATTCAACCAGAAGATCAAACTCTGCACTATTCCAGACTCAGTGGGCACAGAGCATGGTGGTACGGTTGCAGGGCTGCAATTCACACAGAACTGGGTGGTGGGAAAAGTACTAACTCAAAGTGTTATGTTATAAAAAAGTCATGAGAACTCCAGGCATTTTCTGTATATTCAAAATTTAAAGTCACAGTGTGTTGTGGCATTTAAGCAGATGTTGGCTCTAGATCTCATTCCCATGTTTAATTTGATACATGCTATACCATTTACTTGCATCCCCCTCAATGCACCACACACAAAAAAACAAACCAAAGGCAAAGCAAGCCTACATTAATTTATAAGCATCTGGGGAATTTAGATTACTCTTAAAATATGTCGGCTATGTGATTGTATATTATTCCACTGTTAGCAGATGAATTTGGGTTTATTACATATATATATATATAGAGAGAGAGAGATATAAAGTAGCCAGTCAGTAGAACTCTATCAATTAATGTTTGCACAGTTATGGATCAAAAGGACAGGAATAAACAGTAGTGTTATGAGACTTTTATTCCAAAATGTGACTGCTGGATTGTGCCAGAAAAACAATTTGACACAACAGCTAACCTAACGCTTCGCAAACAGGTACGCAATAGAAAAAACCTCCCACGGGCTGCGTTTCTTGCCGACCAACTTTGACATCTCCTTTTCAGACCAGGAACAAAACAGCCAGAAGACTGAGTGCCCCCATTTTAAGGTAGACAACAGCAATACGAGCATGCATCAAAAGGTGCATAATGAGGGCTAAGGAAATTTGCTTACCCTATATTTTTAGGATTTTAAATCTGGCTCAGCAGCAAATATAACAGGAAACCAAGGTCAGGCTGACACAATGTGGGCTATTCTCTCTCTTCCTCAATATGTGTTTGCAGCTCCTACCTAGGTTAATGGGAGTTTTGTGGTGCACATGTGGGGGGAAACAGAACACAAATGCTGCAAAAATTGGACTCAGATTTAGTTCAAATAAAGTGTAATCAGCTTTAGAAAAATCCATCAGCTTGAAAACTGATGTCTTATCACCAAAAAAACCCCTTTAAAACATCACCTCCATATGTTTGTTAAGTCCAGCTCTGGGAAAAAGTACTTGTAACATTTTGCACCCTTATAAACCAGTTGTGAGCGTAGTATGAACACCTAAACTGTTTCTTTTTTCTTCAAATACTCATCAGCCAGGGCTGATCTTTTTTGAGTGTCAAGAAAATTCCTAGAAATGTTCAAAATTAACTCGGTGCAGCTTTTATTTTCTCCTACATAACCATGCACACTGACGTTATTATGCAGACATTACAGATACTGTTGCTGTTGAAGTGAAACACAAAATCCTTATTAGGTTCAGGTTTTCATGATACAGCCAATTCATGGAGATGGGGGTCTTATGGCACCCTTCACAGACCTAATAGCAGGAACTAGGCGTTATATGAAAAGCACAGCTGCATCTGGGCATTAAATTGCACGTTTGAATTCATTTCTTTAGAGAAGTGTCACGTAACTAAAGAATATGTTGTCAGAGGAATGAAAGAATTACATTTTAAATTCCGCTCACGTTTTATACATAGTTTTCAGTGCAACATATTTTATTTATAATAAACATTTAAAAAGAGCCACATGGGATGTAACTATAGTACACTGCTAAAGATTTTGGAAAATATTTTTAAACCCTATCTATGGTTTAACAGCAATCCATATGCTAAATTGTGTTATGCATCTTTAAAAAAATTATAAATGGCATTAAACACAATAGATTTTCAATCTAATTCCACTGTTTGTGCAAAGAATATGGAAAATAATATCAAATTTGAGAGAGAATATGCTGGACAAGGAAGTTGGAGAGCATTTCCAAGCATCCCAAAATCTCGGATACAAAGCCAGTGACTTTAAAAAAAATAAAATAATAAATTGCAAACAAACTTCTAGTTCAAAGGAAAATTTAAACAAACCAGAACAACCCGTAGCATATCGTTTCCTGCAGCAGAGACACCCATTCCTAAAAGGGCCTTCATTATGCTCAACACAACAAGCAGCACCCATTCAACCTGAGGGAAGCCCACAGGCTCGCAGGGCCACTGGCTGGCTCTTTGTCACCAAATGCAGCAGGTTGAATGCAGACATCACTGTGATATCCTCACCAACAAAACCAGAGGCAAAGAACAGGGGCAAGAGCTGAGTAGGGAAGAAAAAAAAAAAAAAAAGAAAAAAAAAAGATGAGAACAAATTAAAACATCAAAAATGTTAAGATACATTCACAGAAAAAACGATGCTTACAATTTTATGAGACCACCACATGGGAGCACAATTCTAAATGCACTTTTCTTGGTACTTTTAGCCCACTTCTGACACACCCCCCCAAACGTTTTGATATATATAACACAGCATTCAGTGCAGTAACTTTGTATGCTACCAAGTGAGAGGGAGGGGACACTTTTATAGGGGGCATTCACAGCGGCTGCTTTACACACTCTACCTGAGAGCAACTCAGGGTAACAACCTATGTGGTCACAAGTGCAGAGGTACTGAGGGAGAAAGCTCAGGACCTCAGCTGGAATCCTGCTTTGAATACCCAGGAACGCTGGGCAGATCAAACGTGCAGGCTTTTTCTATTTATTTTATTTCAAACAAAATCACACTCTGCAACATTTCTGAATGGTGAATGCTGGAAACCAGTCACTGCTAAAAAATGTTCTTTTGATGACTTGTTTGAGGAACGTGACATTTCATTGTAATAAACTTGCCAGATATCTTAAAACCACGACTTCTTTTTTTTTAAAGGCAGGAAATAATTCGCATTGTAAACTGTCCATGAGATATATTTAAACAATCTTCCAGCCATTTTAAATATAGCAAACAGAGAGATGGCAGTCGCGAGATTTTATTTTAGAAGGATTTAATGCACGAATACTAATTGTTTCATTTACCCGCGATGGGAAAGAGGAAACGCAGCTGCCTTATAGCCCAGCCATTCATTGCCGCAACTCGCTTCGGAAGATTATATGGCATCGGGGACCGGAGCCAACCCCCACCGAAGTCAATAATGAAGCTCTCATTGACTCTGGTGGAAGCAGGATTAGACCCCAGGTGGCTAATGAAGGGCAGGGCACGACTCCCAGCCTCCTCCCTGGTACTTTCTTTCTTTTTTGAGCGTCAGAGCACAAGGGCCAGAGCAGGATGCAGGGTCCGCGACGGCCCAGAGCACGGATTTGTCCTGGGCATTTCCCCAACCGGGGAGAAGCTGCCCACGGCCTCATCTTGAAGAACAAGCACGTAGTACCCAGTCGTACGTACTACCCAACTACTCTGGAGTGTATCTGATGGAAACCTGCTTGTATTAACGTGCCTGAAACTCGGCTGCAAAACCCAAACATCTCTGTGCTGCTGAACGGCAGCAAAGCGGGAGGGGGGAACGGGACGTGAAGGTGGGCGCTGCACGGCGGACAGCCCGAGAGGACCATTACACAGAAATAAACATGTCATGACACGAGTGACTGCAAAACTGCTTTAAGAAAAGAATAAAACCCCTTCCCGAGCAGACTACGGGCTAACGAAAGACCAGAGGGCTGCGCGCAGTTTCCCTCCTGGCGCCCTTCCCCG